CATTGCTGGGAGAAACCATAGAGTCAGCATTGAATCCGACGAAAATAGTTTCTGAATACTGCAAAAATAGTTTCTGAATACCACGAGTAGTTTGTGAATCCGACGAAATAGTTTCTGAATACTACGAAAATAGTTTCTGAATACCACGAGCAGTTTCTGAATCGGACGACAATAGTTTCTGAATACTACGAATAGTTTCTGAATACCACGAGTAGTTTCTGAATACCACGAAATAGTTTCTGAATACCACGAAATAGTTTCTGAATACTACGAATAGTTTCTGAATACCACGAAATAGTTTCTGAATACCACGAAATAGTTTCTGAATACCACGAGTAGTTTCTGAATCCGACGAAATAGTTTCTGAATCCCACAAAATAGTTTCTGAATACCACGTTTATTTTCTGAATCCGACGAGCAGTTTCTGAATCCCTAGTTTCTGAATCCGGCGTAGTTTCTGAATCCGTCTTTGTCCTCAGAAAATAAACGTGGTATTCAGAAACTATTTTGTGGGATTCAGAAACTATTTCGTCGGATTCAGAAACTACTCGTGGTATTCAGAAACTATTTCGTGGTATTCAGAAACTATTTCGTGGTATTCAGAAACTATTCGTAGTATTCAGAAACTATTTCGTGGTATTCAGAAACTATTTCGTGGTATTCAGAAACTACTCGTGGTATTCAGAAACTATTCGTAGTATTCAGAAACTATTGTCGTCGGATTCAGAAACTGCTCGTGGTATTCAGAAACTATTTTCGTAGTATTCAGAAACTATTTCGTCGGATTCAGAAACTACCCGTGGTATTCAGAAACTATTTTTGCAGTATTCAGAAACTATTTTCGTCGGATTCAATGCTGACTCTATGGTTTCTCCCAGCAATGATTATGGTATCCCAGCAACTATTCAAAACCGCCACCCCCCCTCTGGCCAATACGATGCATAGGATCTTAACTTGAACTTATCTTCATGAGGGATCAAGACTGCCACCCCCTCTGGCCAATACATTGAATAGGATCTTAACGAAACTTAGCGAATAGGATCTTAACTTGAACCTATCTTCATGAGGGATCAAAACTGCCACCCTCTCTGGCCCATACATTGAATAGGATCTTAACTTCAACTTTTCCCCAGGAGAGATCAAAACTGCCACCCCCTCTGGCCAATACGATAAATAGGATCTTAACTTGAACTTATCTTCATGAGGGACAAAGCCGCCATCCCCTCTGGCCAATACATTGAATTGGATCTTAACCTCAACTTTTCTCCAGGAGGGATCAAAACTGCCACCCCCTCTGGCCCATACATTGAATAGGATCTTAACTTCAACTTTTCTCCAGGAGGGATCAAAACTGCCACCCCCTCTGGCCAATACATTGAATAGGATCTTACCTTGAAATTATCTTCATGATGAATCAAAACTGCCACCCCCTCTGGCCAATACGGCGCATAGGATCTTCACTTGAACTTATCTTCATGAGGCATCAAAACTGCCACCCCCCTCTGGCCAATACATTGAATAGGATCTTAACGAAACTTAGTGAATAGGATCTTACCTTGAACCTATCTTCATGAGGGATCAAAACTGCCACCTCCTCTGGCCAATACGATAAATAGGATCTTAACTTGAACTTATCTTCATGAGGGACAAAACCGCCATCCCCTCTGGCCAATACATTGAATAGGATCTTAACCTCAACTTTTCTCCAGGAGGGATCAAAACTGCCACCCCCTCTGGCCCATTACATTGAATAGGATCTTAACTTCAACTTTTCTCCAGGAGGGATCAAAACTGCCACCCCCTCTGGCCAATAATACATTGAATAGGATCTTACCTTGAAATTATCTTCATGATGAATCAAAACTGCCACCCCCTCTGGCCAATACGGTGCATAGGATCTTAACTTGAACTTATCTTCCTGAGGGATCAAAACTGCCACCCCCTCTGGCCCATACATTGAATAGGATCTTAACGAAACTTATTGAATAAGATCTTACCTTGAACCTATCTTCATGAGGGATCAAAACTACCCCCCCTTTGGCCAATACGAGAAATAGGATCTTAACTTTTGTTGCTTATCTTCAGAGGGACAAAACCGCCATCCCCTCTGGCCAATACGTTGAATAGGATCTTAACCTCAACTTTTCTCCAGGAGGGATCAAAACTGCCACCCCCTCTGGCCAATACATTGAATAGGATCTTACCTTGAAATTATCTTCATGATGAATCAAAACTGCCACCCCCTCTGGCCAATACGGTGCATAGGATCTTAACTTGAACTTATCTTCATGAGGCATCAAAACTGCCACCCCCCTCTGGCCAATACATTGAATAGGATCTTAACGAAAGTGAATAGGATCTTACCTTGAACCTATCTTCATGATGAATCAAAACTGCCACCCCCTCTGGCCAATACGGTGCATCGGATCTTAACTTGAACTTATCTTCATGAGGGATCAAAACTGCCACCCCCTCTGGCCCATACATTGAATAGGATCTTAACTTCAACTTTTCTCCAGGAGGCATCAAAACTGCCACCCCCTCTGGCTAATACTATGAACAGGATCTGAACTTGAACTTAAGTTCCTGAGGGATCAAAACTGCCACCCCCTCTGGCCAATACGATGCATAAAATCTTCACTTGAACTTATCTTCATGAGGGATCAAAACTGCCACCCCCTCTGGCCCATACATTGAATAGGATCTTAACGAAACTGATTGAATAGGATCTTACCTTGAACCTATCTTCATGAGGGATCAAAACCGCCATCCCCTCTGGCCAATACGATGAATAGGGTCTTTACTTGAACTTAACTTCATGAGGGATCAAAACTGCCACCTCCTCTGGCCTATATAATGCGTTAGGGGTAAACCCTGCCCAAAGAGTGATCATCCGATACACTTACGTGGTACCGCCCTAATTGAATCATATACGTTACATGTTACTACGCTGCTGAGATCTCCGGGATCGTTGCTACGTTGCTTGTTACTGCGCTGCTGGGATCTCTGGGCTCGTTGCTACGTTACTTGTTACTACGCTGCTGATGGGGTAGGGTGGGGTAGGGGGGGCATGTCAACGTTCCTTGAACTTCGTACGTTATAGTGTGCTACACTGCTGAGATCTCTGGGATCGTTGCTACGTTACTTGTTACTACGCTGCTGATGGGGTGGGTGGGGTGGGGTAGGGGGGGCATGTCAACGTTCCTTGTACTTCGTACATTATAGTGTGCTACGCTGCAACGATCTGTGGGATCTAAAACTACGTTACATGTTACTACGCTGCTGGGATCTCTGGGACCTTACTACGTTACTTGTTACTACGCTGCTGAGATCTCTGGGATCGTTGCTACGTTACTTGTTACTACGGGTTTCCAGTTTCCAATTATATCAGTTTCCAAATACCAATCTCAGTTTCCGAATACCTTTTTCCAGTTTCCGAATACGACTCCCAGTTTCCGAATACCACTTTCCAGTTTCCGAATACCACTTCCAGTTTCCGAATACCAGTTTCCGAATACCACTCCCCAGTTTCCGAATACCACTGTCCAGTTTCCGAATACCACTGTCCAGTTTCCGAATACCACTGTCCAGTTTCCGAATACCACTGTCCAGTTTCCGAATACCACTGTCCAGTTTCCGAATACCACTTCCAGTTTCCGAATACCAGTTTCCGAATACAACTGTCCAGTTTCCGAATACCACTGTCCAGTTTCCGAATACCACTGTCCAGTTTCCGAATACCACTGTCCAGTTTCCGAATACCACTGTCCAGTTTCCGAATACCACTTCCAGTTTCCGAATACCAGTTTCCGAATACCACCTCCAGTTTCCGAATACCACTCGCCAGTTTCCGAATACCACCGTGACCCACTAACTACAACTACAACTACAAATGCAACTACAGGTACACCTACACTACACTACACTAACTACAACTACAACTACACTACATAACACTACACAACGCTACACTAATTACATTACACTACGCTAATTACATTACACTACACTAATTACATTGTACTACACTACACCACACTACACCACACCACACTACACTTGACTACACTACAACTACACTACATTACACTACACTACACTAATCATACGACACTACACTACGCTAATTACATTACACTACACTAATTACATTACACTACACTACGCTACATTGCACTACAGTAACATTACACTACACCACAGCTACAACTACAACTACACTACATTAAACTACACTACGCTACACAAATAACATTACACCATACTACACTACGCTAATTACACTACACTATACTACACTCCACTACACTATACTACAACTAGAACTGCAACTACAACTACACTACATAACCCTACACAACACAACACAACACTACACTACACTAATTGCATTACACCACGCTACGCTACACTACACCACACTACACCACACCGCACCACACGACACGACAGGACACTACATTACACTACACTAACTACAGCTACAGCTACAACTACAACCAAGCAACTTTATACTACATCACGCTCCACCTCACTACACTACACTACACTACACTACCCTACATTACACTCTCTACACTAATTACACCACACCACAACTACACTACGCTACAACTACAACTACAGCTGCGCTACACCACACTACACCACACTACATCCAGCAGTTGTGGCCGAGGTGACCGGCCAGGTGACCACTGCAACCATTGTAGCCACTTGAAAAAACACAACTCCAACCACCTTTCGGTCCATCAGTGGATTCGCTCTGCCATTCGTGGTTCACAACAACCAAGCTCTCCTATAGGCCTATAGGTTTCCTATTCTGAAACTTCCGCCTTCGGGTAAAAACATATCTATTATGTATATATATATATATTTAATTTGATCTTTAATATGCATAAGAATATATACACTCGAAAGTATGACCAGGGGGTGGTTCCTGCATTTTATCCAGGACTGGCATGTTTGTAGCTTCCGTTCTCGTGCCACAATCCATAGCTGAGATGAAACACGATGGCAACCAACGACGTCCGCTTCTTCCTTCAGAGTACACGCAAATGGCGGGCCGTGCTGGCCGGCGAGGTGCGTTGCACGATTGGTCTATCCGTTTCAGCAGTGCTTCCATTCATTTTGTGATAACTTGTGGAATTTGTTGGCAGTTGAACAGTGTTCAAAACCCCTGTTAGTCGATGATCAAATGAGGTTATACTACCCAACCGTACCCAACCTATTGGGGATTCTCATGATTATCATCATTCATCATCCACTATGGGAATCCCTGTGAACCAACGGGAACATGCTCCCCCCACAGGCCTTGACACGGAAGGCCACGTGTACATCCTGTGTGGCGACGAACCACCAGACACGAAGCAAATTATGCGGATGATGACCAGCAAGGCATCCATGGAAGAATCATCTTCAACATCCGTGAGACAAATGTTAGAAACGATCAAAAAGGATCAAAAAGTCTACCAATTTCCGGAGTACTGTGGTAAATCCATGAATAACCGATCCCTATGACCATACATAGCATGGAATCGGTGGCTAGTACCTCAGGGCGAGCCTTTGTTCTCGCGCTTTCGGGTCACCTTCGCCATGATCCTGCAGATGCGAGCTGGCAGAAACAAATCGGGAACCATCCACAGAGTTTGATTGAAGATATGGCTATGGATCAATACCTATTAATACAATTTTTAGTGGGATGAACATCCATTTACCAGCTATTTTGATGTTCACCAGGGGTACAAGGTTTTGACACACTGCCATATCCTGTTCAAGGATGAACAATTTGGAACGGAATGTAGACTCAGTGTGAACGGCCCTCCTGTCGATGTGGTTACCAACTCAGGAAACGGTTCTCCCAAAGTGGAGTACAAGTTGAAGATCTCTTGGGCAAGTCTTTCTTAGAAAACGCCCGAGCACGGCGCAGGTGGGTTAGGATTGAGAGTCAGGATGTGGGACCAGACTAGAAATAGACAACTTTGTTTCACGAGAAATGCAGGCCTCGCGCGCACCAAGATCGGCGACATCGAAATGAACAGCTGCAGGCGATGCCCCCTGAGAGCATGTTGTGTGTGTTGCCAGCAGAACTGGTGGTTCCAAATATGATGTGAGTCCCTTGGCAAGTTCTCAATTTGATAAGTCTGCCGGCTGCCGGATCAAACTGAGACAGGTTTCGGATCCATCCCCGGTCAGGCCCTGCCGACTTTGGAATGCATCTATGGGGAGCCTGACATGGAGGCTTCAGTTGCAATGATTCTGTTCAGTGGGCGATGCCTAGCACCGGATGCGGTGCAAGCAAAACAGCATATGGCTACAGACCGTGAGATTGAGATTGTCGCAAGTGTCTGAGAAATTCGGTTGCTGAAGTGGTTTACCAAAATGTGGTCAGGACTATGCCTACAGGGAATTGGAAAGCCACAAAGTTGGAGTAGAGCAGCTCGACATTGGGAGCAGGTGTTCTTTTTCCATGTTGACAAAGTTGTCATGCAGGATCCACTGGTTGCCAAGGATCCATGCGAGGCTTTTCTCTAAATCCCGCGAGCGCGTTTTTTGCCCCGGGTGCCAAACTTAGGTTCTCGTTGCATCTCATTGCACTCTTGGAGTTGTAGGAAAAGGCAAAGAAGACACCAGATGTATTCGTGATCACACTTTGTGTAGAAAAGTACTGTAAAGAACAGATGTTATGTTGGAAATTGCGAGAGTGTGTTGCTTTTTTTTTTACTTTGATGCACTGCCGGCAGACCTCTGTCTCAGAACGTGAGCATGAAATAAGGCGGGTGTGACCCGTGTGATCCTATTTTTGATGAAGCCTCATTTGGCTCAGCTAGATATTCAGATGGTGACACAAGGTTGGAGTCAAAGTTTTCACTTCATTTGCAGTTTGATCATGGTTTCATATGTTTGCAGTTTGTGTCTGGACATCACAAGGGCAATCCATTGGGCATCGAAGTTTCGTAGACATCTGATGTGACATCCTGCTAGCCTTGGGCCACTGGGTGCCATGGTCCTGGAGTCCCTGCATTTCTCCCGTGATGGAGGATTGGAAGTGCTGGACCAACTGCAGGTCGATGGTCCCAGAGACTACAAGGAGGAGAGCACGGAGAAAAGAGAAATGAGATGAAATCGTTGTTGTTTTGAATTTTGACCATGGGAGAACTTCAAGTGAAGGGTTTAGCGTGACTTCCGCTGAGAGCAAACAGAGTCGAGGGTGGGTTTGGAGCGTTGTTGTGTTCGGAAGCCAGTGAGGTGCCACAAAAGAAGACGTACATCAGAGTCAAGGATTCTCAGGATGCATGGATTCTTGTCGAGCAATTTCATCTGTGTGCCAGCATATGAACGCAGATGGAAGGACCCGTTTGACTTTTGATTCAGTTGATGTCTACCGCAGGCTATAGGCTATGGCTATAGGTCGATAGAGTTTCATTCTGGGCAGTCACGACACCTCACCTTTTGGAGAGGAACCATTAGCAGCAGGCCCACTCTGCTTATCAAGAATTTTGCATTGGTAAGGACAGTGGTACGCAACATGCAGGCCTGGATCCCTGATTTTGATGTCCACCTTGCTCCTCTCGCGCTGTGAGTATCTGGTGGGGAATCAACGGTGAATGAATGGTGAATCAACCTCCATCTGGGTTTCTGAAAATAGGGTACCACCAACATTTTACCAATGCTTTTCCATGATGGATCATCACTTTTCCACATTTTTTACAATTTTAATGGCCATTCAATGGGCGCCCATCCCAAACCGTCTTCTCATCATTCACTGCAGGTGCGTGGAGCGCCGTTGTTAGCCATGGTCTCTGCCCTGGGCCTTGCAGTGGAAGCTTTGGAGAGGGCCAAGGCGAAGAGAGAGGCGGCTCTGCTGATTTCATGGATGCTTTTTACTGGACAGATGGCTGAGAGGGTGGAAAACGAGCTTGTAATATAGCCGAAATAAATCTAAACAAATTATACATTATACAATTATATGTACATATATATGTTTTCTTAAATCACACGATTTCTGTGATTTGGATACAACTCCAACTTGTCTTGTGCTGGATGGTGAAGCAAAAGTGATTCAGCAGTTTTGCAGAGATCGTTTTGCAACAGTGATGAACTTCGTGAAGCCATAGGTCCCTGTAGCTTGAATCGGTCTATTGGTTCCAACCGCAACGGCCCATATACTGCCAGGGTGCCGCTGAGTGGCTGCGTGAGAGGATGCACCTTGCCATCTGCGCTTGTGCCAGTGTTGGTGGATAACTAAGAAGAATATCGTGAAAGATGGCACCAACTACCTGGATGCTGGATCGTGAAATCATATCAATTCACATCAAACTATACTAAAAATTAAAGATATCAAAACAATCCAAATAGCAATTCATCACTTTTAATCTCAACAATTCTAAAATCACATTCATATTAAATCTCCCTATTCGTCATATTATGTTACATCATTATATCCAAGGTTTTTCATGAGAACCTATGTCACTGGTGATGTTTGATTTGCCTTAGGTCCTTCCTAAAGACCTCGCGGCCCACCGCTGTCAACCTTTTCAATACCATGGACGCGCTGGGTAAGGCTGATGGCAGCTCCCCGTCGTTGTCACCCAGATGAGTTTGTTTCAACATGATTTTATAGAGGTCACTTGAAGGGGGAAAATGATGATAAGCCAATGCCCCAGATCTTTTCATTTCTGATGGAGCCAAGAACTGGTTGTTGATTGCAGAGCTCAGCTGAGTCAAGAGCCAAGAGCCAGCGGAGGTGGTTGAGGACGCAGTCGCTTCTGGCCGCAATGACCAGCAGGCAGACACAACTCGGTTTTTGTCGGACTTGAGTTGAATCCATAAGGTTTCTGGCCCCGACTTCAGCATTTTGCGCAACAGTAAAAGTCGTTTGGCACGCCTTGGGCAGATCTACCACGCCTATGCGGATGCTGCTGAACAGATGCTGGAAGAAGACGTCAAAGCCAACAAGGCACTCTTACAGCTTGCCAGCTGAAGCTTATGCACCTCCTGGCAGGATGAATGATTCGTGTGACCCCGATGATCAGGTTGTTCCAACCAGTTATAGGGGTTTCATATAGCCACAATCGCGGAACATAGGTACTAATTGGTACTAATTAATTGGTGTTCGATGACCTCTTTAATGGTATCTGGAGGCCATTGGAGATGCTGGTGCCGATGCGATTCTCGCGGCAATGAAGGTGCCTTTGGAAGATCTCCAGATTGCATTTGGTCATGAAGGAGGACATGTGTGGAGATCGATGGAGATCGTAAGACCTAGTCAGTCTACCCGGTCTACCCATCATGTTCAAAAGGATATGAGTTGTCGCAAAGTTTGGAATTGTATCTCATCCAATGCTTTGGAATTGCTGCTATATGACATGTTTCTGCAATTCTATCATTATGTGGTTGGTCGAACAAGTACCCGTAAGTACCCGCATTTGTTGATGAATCCATGTTTTAATCGCTTAATCCCATCAAATCCCATGAAAACACCATATTTTAGCTGGTGAAATTCCATGTCCACCATCTCGGCGAAATCGGACGATGGTTCCCATGATTTCCCATGATTTCCCATGGTTCCCAGGCCGCTGGACGAGACGGTGCTGCTCGAGTGATGACCATTTGCAACACTGGAGCCTTGGCGACGGCGGGCTGGGGCACGGCCCTGGGAGTCTTGCGCACGCTGCATGCGAGAGGCGCGTTTGGAGCGCGCAGGGAGTCGTGCCCTTTTTGGAAGTTGTGCAAAAAGGGCGGGAAATGGGACATGATGGGACTGGAGATCTTCGAACATTTGCACATTCTTGAATTGTCGATTCACTTTCTTGCACTCTGTTCAATTACATCTATTGGGAGCCTTGAACACAAGACACGCCTGTATTGTCTACGCTGCGCGTTCATATCCATGTTCACATCCATTCATATTCATGTCACGAAAGCTAGCCTCAACTAGTCGGAGTTACTCTTGCTATAGCAAGGAATTGCTCAACAAGTCTGAACATACCCCACAAAGCCTGTTTTGGGCACTTTCAAGCCTTGGAAGGGGCAACTTTTTTCCAATCTATTTTGTAGACAGCCCTTATTTGGTGGTTTTTAATGATCTTTGTTTTGTATTTTGTAGTGGGCAGCCATTTTGGGTTCCCTAGACTTGTATTTTGTAGTGCATTTGGAGCTACTCTCCTGGATGGATTTGTATTCTGTAGACCTCTTTTCTCTACAAAATCATCTGTCAGCACCTTCTCCCGAAATGAGCAAGGGGATCGAATATTTAATTTAACATTTAACCAAAAAATAATATAATCTATTTACCTTAATATACGCAACTTAAAAACAGCTGCTTAAAAGTCAAAAGTCAAAACTATTTGAAAGGAATGAGGACAACTTCCAAACACATTCTTTTGGGCTGTCGGTAACAAGACTTGCACATGTTCTCCAGGGCCCAAAAACCGGTTTAGCGCCGCTGATTGTTCTTGGACAAAAGCATCAACTTCTGCCATATTTTTCAATTTGAACATGTATAGTGATGATGTATTTAATCTTGCTATAGGAGCTAAGGCATTGTATTTCTGGCTGGCAGTTATGACTGACAAACCAAAATGTCTAGATTTAGTGAAAAACCCGTGTAAGATTTTGGAGTATCTCATAAATGTTCTTTCTTAAGCAAAATCATCAATTATCAACAGGCAACTATATAACTTTTTCATTTTGTTCTTCTTCTGGTATTCTATAACTTTGTGTTGTGTATCTATGATGTGAGCTAATGCTTCAGGGTTGTATTCATCATACAGGTACTGTTCTTCCTTATTATCTACTTTCAGTTCTTTTCAAACAGCCCCTGTAGATTTTCAACACTCATTTTTGTATAAGAATACCTTTGCCCCCTTACATGCCGAAACCATGATACTCCTAAAAGGCAACTTATCAGCCTGAGGATATGGTGACTCTTTGAATTCATATTGCTTTACATTGATTGGTTCAATTTTGGGAACATCAATTCTTTCATTATTAATATTTAGAAACGAATTTATATGATATATTATTGATATGGAACTTCATTGAGGAACACATGGACAGAATGAAGAAGCATACAATCCCCAGAAGAGGTTAATTAGTTTTGAGAATGTGCTGACAAACGAGGAACAAAAGATGTTTTTGAATTCATTTTTTCACCCCGACCCCTCCCATTGAGAAAAGTCATACAAAAGATATATTTAGATTTTATCAAACAATATTATTTAGTTATTTTAAATGTCAGATCATTGTAATATCAATGACAAACAACTACAATAAAGATGGGATGCTGAAAAAAGCAGTGCCTGAAGATTTTGAACTGTCAGATGATGAACCAACAACAATTAACCTAGATAAAGAACAAAAAGTATCAAGTAAGTTATTTACAACTTTTGATTGCCCCCTTTGTCAGGGTAAATTACAGCTAAGAAAGGAAATAGAAATGAACCCCAAAGGATTTAAATGCTGTTGTAATCCCTGCTCATTTGAGTAAAGCCGATAAAACAATGAATGTTAGTAGAGATGAAAACGGAGACATTAAGCTAGACAGCCAGGCCCATAGCATTAGCTTTAGCTGGAATAGGCAAATCACTCCAGAAGACCAAAAGACGGAAAGCACCAATAGAATGATACGTGATGTTATGGGTACTCCACGCAATAACCAGATATGTTCAATAAATGATGTGGATGAATTGATAATTGACTTTTAACTAAACATAAATACATATTTAGAATTTTCTAAATATATATATATATATATATCTTATGAAACCTCAGGAAGTGGATTATAACCTCCTAAGTCAGTTATGGGAAAAGGTAAAAAGTATGAGTGACAACCAAATAGCAATCTTTACTAAGTTGAATGAACTTACAGAATGTAAAGATGCTGAGGACAAGGAAGCTGAAAAGAAGAAAGTTGGAGAGATTTTCGAAAAGAAAGGGATAGGAAAACCAAGGGGCACATTTGAAGAAAAGCAAAAGCAGTACTTTGAGATGGTAAACTCTGGGAAGATAAAGAACCCGTAGCCAAGACTAGGCTGTTATCATATCGTAAAAGATGATAAAGGGGGAAATTGCTAATAAATATGTTGCCAAAATGATTTTATAACAATATTCTCAAAATATTGTTATGAAATTGTTGTTTGCTTTGTTTTTTGTTAAAAAGAAAAAAACAGCACATACATTATTTCCTCTCACGCGCTCCATTCTCACACGCCTCCCCCTCCCATACCCCAACAACAACAACAACAACAACAGCAACAGCAACAGCAACAGCAACAGCAATAGCAACAGCAACAGCAACAGCAGACAAACAAACAAACACCCCCTCCCAGCAGGGTGGAAGATGGGCAAAGCCATAGTACATGTGTAAGTAGATATGGATGTAAGGAGATGTATATGTAGATAGAGAAGGGTTTCTTCTCGCAGTTGCATGTGCGTGTGTCATGTTGCACCATGTCATGTTCATATGCGAAGATGCTATTGCTATATTCTTCCCAAATGGTGGATTTAGGTATCCCCAGTCCTCAGCAATCAAAGTAGATTGTTCCCCGCCATTGCCCATGATGCTCTTCACCACCCTCCTGTTGAGCGCCTTTGCCGCTGGCTACCATTTGCCTGAGCCTCCCAATTGCAGTGAAGAAGAACTCATGAACGGCTACAATCACACTCTTCGTGGCGGGTGGATGGACCTCAGTATGTACACCACATGGGTACGCCGCCTCGGCCCTGTCAGCTGGACTTCAGCGGCAGGCATTTGCACGGAAAAAAATCTGGCCAATGCCTCAGGAAATGAATCACTCTTCTGTATCAGCACCCCGCTTCCTTTCTTCAGCCAGTGCCTCCGTGTCAAGAAATCGATCCCTTTGAACGTGACCAATGTGACCAATGTTCTTTCGTCCTGCCACGACTTTGAATCCATTGGAACGGACGTCCTGAAAGAGGCGAAGTTTCCTTTCGAGAGTCGCTTCTGCCACCAGTCCCTGCATGGTGACCTCACGAGGCTCCTTTTAGTGGGCACTCGTCAAGGTGCGGAGCGATGGATTGTGGAGACTTGCCATTGGATGAAAGCAAGGATGTGCCACAACCCTGAGATGATGATCTTTCGGAATTTCGTACCGGGATCAGGTTGATTCTAGTAATGCGACACTGGGACGCTCCCGTCTTAGTTGTACAGGATGACGCGCAGTTTGTCCCTGAACGTGACACTGGCGTGCTTCATTGCTTTCTTTTGACTGCACGGGATGAGAGGTTTCCAGCTTGACGCTGACCACCACGTGGTTGCTCTGCAAAAAGTGATGAGGCGTTGTTGTGATTTATGGGGAAATGGCTTATCATTATATTGTTTCATATTTCTGGGCACACGTGTTCAACAAGACAAGTCTTGTTGAAAAAATGGGAGTGTATTGGATGATTTGTTTGATGAGTTATTTGTGGTTAGCTGTCATGATTGCTTGTGGGTTGGTTGTTTGTGGTTAGTTGTTCTGATTGGCTTTGTGATGTTGTTTGTGGTGAGTTTCTGTTCTGGTTCATGGGATATTGTTTTATGATGATGTTGTTTCATAAATTTAGGCGGTCAATTTTTCAACAAGACAAGTCTTGTTGAACAGTTGGAGTTCTTTTTTGATTGGGGTATGTGGTTAGTTTTTCTGATTGCTTGTGGATTGGGTGTTTCTGCTTAGTTGATATGAAATGTTTGTGGTTCGTCTTGCCGGGGTTGATGTGTGTATGTTGGGGGTTGTGAGGTCTGGGGTTCAGGGTTTGGAAGATGGGCAAGTCCCATTCTAACTGTAACATGATATATATATAAATAACTATGGTTAATGGGGTTATAATTCAACTTGTAACTTATAACCTATGGTTTATAGATAGTTCTAGTTTATAGGGAATATGACTATAGATAATGGGTTTATAAACCAACTAACATCTCTGGGGGGCCTCATTTTGCATTTCAAAATCATGGCATGATGGTTAGGACCTAAGGGGAATCATTCCTGGCTGGCCGAACTTATCAGCTATTTTCAGGTGAGTGAATCCATATATATATATATACACATAATTCAGATTAAATAATTCAGCCAGATTGTGTGGATGATGCAATAGCCTTTGCCAGGATTCACCATGCATTTCTTAGGGTGGAAGAATTGATACTGTTAGGATTTTAGAACAGCCAAACTTCGTTTGGGTCCCTTGGTTTCCCATGGACTACTCTCAGCCAATATCAAAAGAGTTGCAAGGCAAGCTTGAGCGTGCATATTGCCTGGAGACGAGGCCCTATAATCAGGCGGGGAAGTGATGGAAGCCAAACGAAGAGTGGCTTCTGCGCAGGTTCAGAGGTACCAGTTGTCTATGAATTTCCGGAGCAAAAACTTTGCTGAAGCATTTCTTTGTTGCTCTGTTGGGATTGTATGCTAAGTATCATAGTATCCAGGAGAGAAGAATCGGAATCATGGTTTGCAGGTTGAACCTGCATGAATGAAGATCTACGTCAGCACCTCATTTTCAGTCATTTCAGGCCCCAACCCCACGCCCGAGCCCAATCCTTCGCAGGGGGCACGGCTTACCGCTTTTGAACTGGTAGAGGATGGCTTGCCTGGAACGTTGCTACTCGGATGGAACCTCTACTTGTTGGAAGCATCTAAGGCTGAAGTCAGTGTCACGTGCTGCTCTGTTTGACTTGGAACTCCTGTGGTATTTTGTGGTGATTTTGACACCCCACAATTCACCATTGAAGGGAAAACGCTTGGTATGGAGTACCAAATGCTTGGATATACTCTATTGCCCTACTGTATTCTGGGATTTCCCTTTTTGCTCATGTCATTTTCTCCTGCACCTTTTCAATGCTTCTCCTGTACCTTTCCCATGGCAGCCATTCCCATACCTTTCCCATGGCACGTTTTGTCGCTACTTTTGACTTTTGTCGTTTCTTGTCATGATTCCCGACTACTTTTGCCGTTTCCTGTCATGGATCCCAAAAATCTATCTTGGTTCCAAAGAATCTTGTCATTTTCCAGCAAGTCATATTGGCGCAGTGTCGGCATCCATTATTCTCCCATTATCATCATCCCATGCTTGTCCCATTGAAACAACCATTAAAAATCATCCTATCATCCCATCCTATCATCATCTATCATCCCATGATTACTCCCCACCCCCACATTTCCAAATGAGGATCTGTGATTCCATGGCTGCTGCCTTGATGCAGCGCTGTGGCCTCGATGCATGCATCGTGGGCGCTGATCGCGTCGTTGCCAATGGAGCGCCACGGGACTGGGAGGATGGGGGCGTTTGGGTGGGGGGTGAAATTTATAGTTAATATATGTTAATATACCTATGAAACATGGCAATTTTCCATAGCCATGTTAGCTACAACTTCCAAAATTTTGGATATGCCCCTCCCCCCCCGCAACTATGGTTAGATATCCACTCCGAAAACACCCCGAAGTAGGCGTGGAAGAAAGCTTAGCTTCTTTTGCCCCAGCCACAATGGGTTGAGGAGACAGCGCCAACAAGATTGGGACCTATTCGCTGGCAGTGCTATCCAGACACCATGGTGTGCCTTTTTACGTGGCTGCGCCACTGACCACCTTAGACGCAGCTCTGCTGAGTTGGGTGATGTTGGGTGGGTTGGGTCTAGACTTGGTGGGAAAATCTGCAGCAGTCCTCACAATTATGTAGCACACAGCTTTCCTCTAATTCGAAACGTTGGTTTTAGAATCTAATGATCCAGTTGTGTCACTTCCAATGGAGCTCCTTGAAGTTAGCTGAGGTCAACTTGAAGCACGGCTCGGAGATCCCCATCGAGGCACCGCGATCTTTGCGGGGGAAACAATGCCTGGTGGTTGGTGGTTGGTGGTTGGTTACATGGTCCTTACATGGTCCTTACATGGTCCTTACATGGTCCAAAATGCGTTCTCCCCACTCTGATGATTCTAATCATTCTAATCCAATTTGACCTGGTGGTTTGGTGGGGATCTCAACAGAAACCCACCAGCGACAAGCCAAACATCAACCAGTCTGGACTGGGATTTCTCAGGAGCGGCCCGATGAAGAGCTTTGCTCATTGAAAGTGGAGGGTGTCAGCCACCGAGTGGCTGCCCCTGGGATTGGTGTTTGGATGCTTGGCTCGGTCAAAGATTTGTGAATTTTGCCGATGCATCCCACGACCCCGTGAAGGGTGCGTTACGGCAAGCATCACTTGCCAAGGAACCCAGCCTTTGATGTGACGCCAGCATCGTTGATTTCCGGCATTGTCACTGATTGCGGCCTCATTCCAAAGCGCAGCCAGGACGAAAGGAATTTGGATGAGGGAAAGAGGGTCAAGAACGAGAGGGCACTTTATCACTATATGACAATAAACAACTTCGATCAAAGCGTTCTGGAAATCCATGTATGATTTCCATTAAGATCTGGGTGGATCAAAGGACTACAAAGATTATTCTTAACATGCAGAAATTGGTTCTCAGTTCAAGACATCCAGTTCATTTGCTCCATTGGCCCATGGTTTGGTATGAGGTCCTTGGCAATGAGTTGCTTCTCGATGGCTGTTACCTTTATCTTGGTCAGGATTTTGACGTGGCTGCCTTTGTGCCGGAGAAGAAGCGAAAAGTGAACGGCCAATGATGCTGAAATATGCTCAAAAATCAGTTTGCTTAGAAAAGGTGCACGACAGGAGCACAACGAAGATGGCTTTTTGAATGCTTTCTCTGTGTGTTTCTATTGTACTTATGGTGATGACACTGTTGCTCTGATACTTTGTCCAGTGTCTTGAACCCAAGGTATCCCAAGGTTGAGAAACTTCCGGTGACAAATGTTTTAATGCAGCACAGTCACATAGTGGACGCCCAAGGTAAGCTGCTTCATTCGCTTGTTTGATCTTAAGGCTTGAGAGGCACTTAGCTTCTATTGATGGTGGAAGAAGTCTTCTAGTCCCGTTTTTCCGCCACAGAAATCTCCGAAAGAATGGAACAAGTGCAACTTCAGACAAGTGTGCATACCGCATCAAAACCTCTTGCTGAACTGTATGTTGCACCTGATCACTGCGTTGAATCAAAGGAAATGTACATTGAGACAGAAAACTAGAGAGGGTTCAGAGGTAGGTTTGCACTGATGTGCGCTTGAGCTATGGACTGGGAAGTATCCGCATGGCCGTACGAAGAGGTCGGCAGAGCTGGTTTAGCTCACTGTTTTTTCCTCGCTGACTGAAGCAGACCTGCAGCACGAAATCTTTCTACCAGCAATTTGGCAGTGGGTCAATCTTTAGAAACTCAGTAGTAACCAGTGGCTCTAAATTGTTATGATCAAAGATGATCCAGGTATTGTATTAGGTCAAGATCTATGATGATAGCCCAATTATGCCAAATTGCGGTCACCTATCATCATAGATCTTGGTAGCAGCCCTCCAGGTCACTCTCTGCGAGATCTGGAAGATACGCACTGCAACTGTGACCTCGCTTGGCGAAGAGGCGCTGCCAATGCAGGGGCACAAGCCACGACATCCCAAAGTGGCTCATCAGTTCTTTAGTGCATAGAAGTAGCATCATCTAGTAAAGCCTAAGCTGGCAACGGGGAAAAATCATCTACATTATATATATATTATACACACGTACATGCATATATATATAAATCATCCTCATCTACATTAAAGCTATATCTCCACTGATCATCTTCCGATCCACTGGCATGTCCTCTTGCCATGGCTCAGGGCTGGAGCTGTACATCCCTGCTCCAGAGAGCACGCCAGCTCGCGCGGCGCTTGCACACTGTGGCTCCGGCGCCTGGATGTGTCGGCCTGGGCGTGGATGAGGGAATTCCAATGGTGCTGCTCCACGTGGCTGTGCTGGAGGTTGGGATTGGAAAGTTCGGGTAGAAACTTGTTTAGTGTCGAATTGTTTCCATTGTGTTTCATTCAGGTTACTTCCAGGCAATCAGAGCCAGTCTACGGTCCGTCCAGTCTACGGTCCGTAGCTTGCTGGTCTTTCCTTTGTACATTGTGTCGAGTCCCCTTGTGTAGCAGCGTAGCAGTCATGCAGGCTTCCCTCTGCACAGGCAGGCATGTTCTTTCTGCCCTTGGACCTTCGACAACCGCTGGCCCGCCTTGAGAGCATGCTGGTTACGGCAGGTGCAGCCTCTGGGGGTCATCTTGTGCAGCTTCAGCCAACATATTTCGACCTCAAACAGAGAGATAGATCACTTTTTGATATAGTTTGATAGGTGCAATTATATATGGCATGATCACCTTTTGAATTCATGAGCATAGGCCGCTGCGTAAAGCAGCTTCGAGCCTGGTTGGAAAAAAAAATATATGTTTTAAATAATCACAATATTTCTGTGATTTGGATACAACGATACAATTCCAACTTGTCTTGTGCTGGATGGTGAAGCAAAAGTTATTCAGCAGTTTTGCAGAGATCGTTTTGCAAAAGTGATGAACTTCGTGAAGCCATAGGTCCCTGTAGCTTGAATCGGTCTATTGGTTCCAACCGCAACGGCCCATATACTGCCAGGGTGCCGCTGAGTGGCTGCGTGAGAGGATGCACCTTGCCATCTGCGCTTGTGCCAGTGTTGGTGGACAACTAAGAAGAATATCGTGAAAGATGGCACCAACTACCTGGATGCTGGAGCATGAAATCATATCAATTCACATCAAACTATACTAAAATTCAAAGATATCAAAACAATTCAAACAGCAATTCATCACTTTTAATCTCAACAATTCTCAAATCACATTCATATTAAATCTCCGTATTCGTCATATCATGTTACATCACTATATCCAAGGTTTTTCATGAGAACCTATATCACTGGTGATGTTCGATTTGCCTTAGGTCCTTCCTAAAGACCTCGCGGCCCACCGCTGTCAACCTTTTCAATACCATGGACGCGCTGGGTAAGGCTGATGGCAGCTCCCCGTCGTTGTCACCCAGATGAGTTTGTTTCAACATGATTATATAGAGGTCACTTGAAGGGGGAAAATGATGATAAGCCAATGCCCCAGATCTTTTCATTTCTGATGGAGCCAAGAACTGGTTGTTGATTGCAGAGCTCAGCTGAGAGAGCCAAGAGCCAGCGCAGGTGGTTGAGGACGCAGTCGCTTCTGGCCGCAATGACCAGCAGGCAGACACAACTCGGTTTTTGTCGGACTTGAGTTGAATCCATAAGGTTTCTGGCCCCGACTTCAGCATTTTGCGCAACAGTAAAAGTCGTTTGGCACGCCTTGGGCAGATCTACCACGCCTATGCGGATGCTGCTGAACAGATGCTGGAAGAAGACGTCAAAGCCAACAAGGCACTCTTACAGCTTGCCAGCTGAAGCTTATGCACCTCCTGGCAGGATGAATGATTCGTGTGACCCCGATGATCAGGTTGTTCCAACCAGTTATAGGGGTTTCATATAGCCACAATCGCGGAACATTGGTACTAATTGGTACTAATTAATTGGTGTTCGATGACCTCTTTAGCCATTTTCCTCCCCTTGTATCTGGAGGCCATTGGAGATGCTGGTGCCGATGCGATTCTCGCGGCAATGAAGGTGCCTTTGGAAGATCTCCAGATTGCATTTGGTCATAAAGGAGGACATGTGTGGAGATCGATGGAGATCGTAAGACCTAGTCAGTCTACCCGGTCTACCCATCATGTTCAAAAGGATATGAGTTGTCGCAAAGTTTGGAATTGTATCTCATCCAATGCTTTGGAATTGCTGCTATATGACATGTTTCTGCAATTCTATCATTATGTGGGTCGAACAAGTACCCGTAAGTACCCGCATTTGTTGATCAACAACCATGTTTTCATCAGAAAATCCCATCAAATCCCATGAAAACACCATATTTTAGCTGGTGAAATTCCATGTATTCCATGTCCACCATCTCGGCGAAATCGGACGATGGTTCCCATGATTTCCCATGATTTCCCATGGTTCCCAGGCCGCTGGACGAGACGGTGCTGCTCGAGTGATGACCATTTGCAACACTGGAGCCCTGGCAACGGCGGGCTGGGGCACGGCCCTGGGAGTCTTGCGCACGCTGCATGCGAGAGGCGCGTTTGGAGCGCGCAGGGAGTCGTGCCCTTTTTGGAAGTTGTGCAAAAAGGGCGGGAAATGGGACATGATGGGACTGGAGATCTTCGAACATTTGCACATTCTTGAATTGTCGATTCACTTTCTTGCACTCTGTTTTGGCCTGCCTAAGCAACAGCTGCTTAAAAGTCAAAAGTCAAAACTATTTGAAAGGATTGAGGACAACTTCCAAACACATTCTTTTGGGCTGTCGGTAACAAGACTTGCACATGTTCTCCAGGGCCCAAAAACCGGTTTAGCGCCGCTGATTGTTCTTGGACAAAAGCATCAACTTCTGCCATATTTTTCAATTTGAACATGTATAGTGATGATGTATTTAATCTTGCTATAGGAGCTAAGGCATTGTATTTCTGGCTGGCAGTTATGACTGACAAACCAAAATGTCTAGATTTAGTGAAAAACCCGTGTAAGATTTTGGAGTATCTCATAAATGTTTTTTCTTAAGCAAAATCAATCATTATCAACAGGCAACTATATAACTTTTTCATTTTGTTCTTCTTCTGGTATTCTATAACTTTGTGTTGTGTATCTATGATGTGAGCTAATGCTTCAGGGTTGTATTCATCATACAGGTACTGTTCTTCCTTATTATCTACTTTCAGTTCTTTTCAAACAGCCCCTGTAGATTTTCAACACTCATTTTTGTATAAGAATACCTTTGCCCCCTTACATGCCGAAACCATGATACTCCTAAAAGGCAACTTATCAGCCTGAGGATATGGTGACTCTTTGAATTCATATTGCTTTACATTGATTGGTTCAATTTTGGGAACATCAATTCTTTCATTATTAATATTTAGAAACGAATTTATATGATATATTATTGATATGGAACTTCATTGAGGAACACATGGACAGAATGAAGAAGCATACAATCCCCAGAAGAGGTTAATTAGTTTTGAGAATGTGCTGACAAACGAGGAACAAAAGATGTTTTTGAATTCATTTTTTCACCCCGACCCCTCCCATTGAGAAAAGTCATACAAAAGATATATTTAGATTTTATCAAACAATATTATTTAGTTATTTTAAATGTCAGATCATTGTAATATCAATGACAAACAACTACAATAAAGATGGGATGCTGAAAAAAGCAGTGCCTGAAGATTTTGAACTGTCAGATGATGAACCAACAACAATTAACCTAGATAAAGAACAAAAAGTATCAAGTAAGTTATTTACAACTTTTGATTGCCCCCTTTGTCAGGGTAAATTACAGCTAAGAAAGGAAATAGAAATGAACCCCAAAGGATTTAAATGCTGTTGTAATCCCTGCTCATTTGAGTAAAGCCGATAAAACAATGAATGTTAGTAGAGATGAAAACGGAGACATTAAGCTAGACAGCCAGGCCCATAGCATTAGCTTTAGCTGGAATAGGCAAATCACTCCAGAAGACCAAAAGACGGAAAGCACCAATAGAATGATACGTGATGTTATGGGTACTCCACGCAATAACCAGATATGTTCAATAAATGATGTGGATGAATTGATAATTGACTTTTAACTAAACATAAATACATATTTAGAATTTTCTAAATATATACAT